TATATATATATATCAAACTGTCAACTGAAACAAATGGAACTATTAAGATTTCGAATCCTCGCCAAGTGATGAGCTTCATCAAGTTTCAAAATGAAAAGAAAATGAATACATGTCAACATTACTTACAAATCAAAAAATTGATACAATAAAATCAGCACCTTGTCAAATAATTCATCGCCCTTCCTTTCACAGCCCAATAATATCAGTCGTTCAATGAGGATCGTAACTTCAGTTTCAGTCAATTCCTGTGAAACAAACAGTCGTAACCCCCAGCTGTTAACTGGCTTTTCTAACAAAGCTAGAAGCAGATCAAAGCTTTCTGAAACTGACCTGAAAAAACATTATCTCTTCGGAGTTTATTTTGTTAATATCATATGAAAATTTTTAATAACCATACCACTTACTTCTCGCGCTGACCAGTGGGCACAGAGCACATCAATCATTTTTAATACAAAAAGTGCATTTCAAATCAAAACAATTATAAACAAAAGTTCTGATGTCCTATCACACGATAAAAAGTTAAACATACTCATTGGAACACACTTTGAGAAACGTCGCATATGTTCGATCATCCACTACTAGCGAAAAGCGCAAAAAAACAACCGCTTCTTGGATAAGACTTTTACTAGCTAATAATTCAATGAATTTACAGCATGCTCTAAAAACAACCGATTTAAAATTCCTCAATGCATTTGCATGACTAAAATAGATTGAAGACAACTTCAATGAACAAATCTTGAGATGTGGACTTCTTTTACTTTATAATGCATATGTTCCATAAAAATCCAGGTGTAAGCTAGATGTTGCATTACAGGCCTGACAAACTTGACCGCACTTTTCATTTAAGAAAATCAGAAATGCTCAGAGAATGCTCTAGAAATGCTCCGTGAGCCCTATGTAAAAATTGACCTGAACCTAGTTCAAGGGACTCAAGAAAATTTAATAAGCCAAATGACTAGAGTGTTTGCAAATAAAAGGAAGCTATTTCTTTTTCCACATTCAGTTTTTCGCGATGATATAAACATCATGGGATCTAAATATATCTTGAAAGTTAAAAGTTGAACTAACTTCGATTCGGTGATCAGTCTTGAATGGACAAGAAGTGTGAGCACCCGGTGGAAAAGTTTTTCATTAACGCATTTGCGTAAAACTTTCAGCAACGTCATTTGCATATGAGCAGGAAGGGCTATAGGTAGGTGGTCACATAAATCAATATTTGCCTTCTTGGCTAATTTCGACAGCTCATTCCAAATATTATTCAAATCCTGCAACTACATAATGTGTTCTTTTAATAACATCAGGCAACTAACTACTTCACAGTAATTCAAATTTCGAGAGAATTGAAAAAATTTTTGTGCTCTTTAGTTGTTTACGAAATGTTTCAAAGACATAGAAGAACCAACGTCTTGTGCTAAACAGTTGGAAATCTTTATAACGAGAGAATCAAAGGACTTTGTTTTATGAACAGAAGATAGTGATGTATGAACGAATACAGATGGAACGGAATCTTCTGAAGTACCAATATATAACGAGCGCTTAATCGATTGCATTCTAAAAAACAGTCTTTCACATATTCAAAACCATTTCTCGACGAGCTTCAAAAACTCATAAACCGATCAGTTTATGAATCAAATAGCGTATATTGCTACCATCCGGCTCATTACATTTTTACTGATTTCTAAATTGCCCAAAACCTACTCATTCGAGAAGGAAGTGTCTAAAACAGATAAAGAATGTGTTACAACATCAAACTATTTTTTAAAGATAAAAGTAGGGAGAAAAAACTTGCCTTATAGGTATTCTGGCAATATTACTGATTCCTCTCAAAACAATAGTCTGTTTCTCATCGATTGTGATCTAAGAAAGATAATCTGCAGTCAAATTTCTATCAATTCAAAGCATACAATTATATTAGCAGCATAAAAAATTTTTCGTTTTTATACGCATAGTTGATTCACAATGGAAAAATAAGTTACACAGCTAATGCATTATCTTCCTTTTTCAGTCCCTTAGAAACCATATGTGATAACTATGGAATATAAAACAGCTAGTATTTCGATCTGAAAATTCCGAATAAGAGATAAAAAATTATAAAACCTTTTCAGCACATAATAATTATCTTAAATTGAGCGACTCCCAGTTCAGACTACGAAAGTACAACAAGTTTACCTACAAGGGTTTCTGTAGAGCAACTATCCCAAAAACTATATGGATATTGCAGCACGTGATCTGTGGCATCCTGGTCAGACAAATGAACTACAAAAAAAGGAAAATAAAAACCTTGAAATATTTTAAAAAAGATGTGAGCATAGCGGATAAAAAAGTGACGGAACAAAGCAACCTCTAACTTACTTCATTCGGCAGGCACTGTTCTGGCCATAGGAATTTTGTCTTTCCAATAACAGCATGTTCACTCTCCGAACATAGTCTCACTGTTAACGTTTTAAAAGTTTCTAGAATCAAACCATCAAATATTACTGCTTAAAATAAAGCAGTATTTTCTACAAGTGAATAGAAATTCTCAATGTGTTATAAGATGGTTTAGTCATAAAATCATATAATATATAGTGCAATGAATATGAGCTGCTACAAATATTCGAGAGCTTTTAATCTTGATGGTAAAATCTAGCCTTGATACTTGTCATCCTCCAATGTAGCTTCCACATAAAGGCGGTCGTTTAATAAGTACCTCAGACAATTTCTCATCTGAAATAAAAATAGGGATCAGTTAACAATATAAACATTTAGTGTCCAAATTGCTGTTTCAATCAGACGACTTTTTCACCATGATGATGTGTTTCTAAGCATGGTTATAATCAAGGTGCAGCTATATCAATCTGTTCTCTATTCTCTGTCCGATCTCCATTGTCCATTGATATTTTGTAGGAAAAGCATGATCTCAGGAAGTCCACTTTGCTAGGTTGTTGTAATGATATCTGCTATATCGTTAAATATATTAAGGACACAACATGCCTGAACATCCTTCATCACAGTAGATTTTTTACGCTTCCATTATTAATGTGTCTATCAAATCATCGCCTTGAATACTGGTGTGTTTAGGAGGTATAAGACCAACCAACTAAATGACTTTAAGAACCCATATTACAATTGTGTCATAATTTTGGCAATCCGGTATTATAAGATCGGAGAGCCGAAATCATTACACAGTTATAATATGAGTTCTCGAAGTCACATCAGGAATCTTTGAAATCAGTCAGATATTGTTTAGCTCAAGAAGAAGGGAATCGAGAACTTTTAAAACTCCGAAATCCATCAAATCCAAACACCTCCGAACCCCGGGAATACGTACGCTTATGATCTTCCACTCCCACCGTATCAGTTCGAATTTTACTGCTGCAACGCGATATGCAACATTGTCGAAGGGAAACTTCAGAAGTGTAATGAATTGAGGTATCTATACACGGGTTGGGATGGAAGGGGAAGTGGTGATTAGTTACAGGTGTTTGGATTGGTCACATTTGTGTCGGAATCTATGGTATACAGTGGCTCGCTGATGCTGGACAGTCTTTTGGTCATTATTAAGCCCTAAATCTTCAAGTGATAAGAGCGCTGGCATCCATTTATATTATTACTTCATAGCCACATTTTTGCATATCATTACAAGCATAAGGGATGCTTTTGGTTACATATTATTATTATTTCTTTGAGATATCCTTCAAATTCTTCGTCCTATTGTTTTCAGCATCTGATTTCTTCTTGCTTTTGCTTTTTGACTTTCCTTTTGATCCTTTACGGATCATATTTTTCCCTTCCTCAGCAGTCTGAAAAAAAACTCCAAAAATTCTTTGTAGCTATTACATAACCTCCAACAGGGACATCACATGTAAATGACAGTCTGTTAGGTTGGGGCTGTCCGAATTACGAGACTTAGTCTTTTACAAAGGCTAAGTGAAGGTCAAGTGTATTGAAGACATGGGTGCAGTATAGACTTATGAAAACAAGCCAAAGTAAGGGAGCGGACTCCTAACCGCATGGGCTACAGCAGTTTGACTTCGTGCTTATGGATGGACTAATTTAGTTTCGGAGTTCCTATAACCATTTTGCGCTATCCCTTCTAATGCGCAATGAACGTCGGTTGGTTGAATTGTAGACTTTAAATTGGTTTGAAATAAAATCGATATGATATTCTGAATGATTAATAACCGTGAAATTACCACAGGTTCCGGTGGCGGTGGCAATTTTTTGATTTCTTCTTCCAACTCCTTGATTGCTTCAGAAGTTTTTTCGGCCAGAAAATGGTAATCTGGTGGCTTTTGAGGATTCGCTAAAACTAGTTTTTATAGTCGCAGTAGAGATAAACATATAAGTAAATCAGTGAAATATTTCTCAGATCTTGTAGTCTTTCATTAATTCATCTTGTAAGCTTAAGTTCTTTTTTTTCTTTTTAATTTATTTATAGACATAGCAAAGCAACCTGTTTGAAGATATGCGTTAATTGCATAAAACTGGTGTGGCAATGTTTTCAAGAGATAACGAGCAGGGCAGTACAATGATTTGAGATATTTATGTGCCTAAATGAACCACAAATATACATTATTATTATTTCCTGTAGAAACAAAAATCCGAAAAAGTATTGAAGTAGAGCTGTATGCATGAATTTGTGTGCAGCACAGGAAGATTTTGCAGTTGAATTGACGAACTTACAAACGTAACTTTCATAAAAATGCTTATACAATCCTCCCTTGTCACATCTTCTTTAAAATTTATTTTTGGATTCAACACCAGCGTATTCTAGGACTGCTCAAGCAGGAATATTCTAACCCTCGTATTATTTCTGTACGTCCATGGCAAAGGTTGGATGGGCTCACGTTCATTTGCAAATAATTCACACGTGACATAGAGCCAAGCAATGAGATCATCAAAGCGTGTTTGCTCCCGTCCTTTTTGTGCATGTCCACTTGCCCATTCGGGTGTTCCACGGAACGGACAGCATGTCCGTGGTGGTCGTATCTGCAAAAAGTCTTTTGGTATCTAAGATGCAAAAAATATTCGTACAACTGGTTCAGAAGTTGAGCTTAGACTCAATCTACCGAAGAAAATATGTAATTGTATTTTGCTTGAAGGTTAACTGCTGATGAAAAAAAACTTCGATCTGATATGATACACCAATAGCTATTGTTATTCTGGTTTTGGACTTTTATGATTCATTCGACTATTCTAAGTCGTCAACTATGAGGTCAACATTTTTTACAACTAAATTGGTTGAACTTCATCATAGGGACTTCTCTAGAACAGTTCAAAACAAACAGTTTCATTTCTAATCACTGTTTCTATTAAAAATAGCAGATTCTGTTACATTGATGAAAACGCATAAATTACATCGCTTTCCCCATCGGTATACATCCTAGCCATACCGAGATCGAAGAGCAACGCAATCGGCTGTTCTCTTGAACATAGACCCATATTGTCTGGTTTCAAATCGCGATGCAGTAGTCCTTTATATATTTAAATCATTTAGCCTTTTTCGATCTACTTTGAAAGCCAACTGGAAATCTAACGGCACTTTGACTCTTCTAAGCTTACTTCACTTTCTACTATTTTTCCAGTGAAGTGAAATGTGTCAGAAATGTGTGACGATCTGATTTCACTATTTTTTTAGTTGATAATAAAGATATAAGCTGCAATACGATAATATCAACGAAACGCCTGCTATACTTTTTCCGGCATAGGAATCACATGTTTACTGCTGCTTTTTTTTTACATTTCTTTTTATTTTTCTCTAAAAAAATAGCAAAACTTTGCAATACTTTTTGAGTACCTTGTGCATGAAGATCATAAATCCCCTTGAGCATTTGTAATGAAATATTTGCCGCACGGTATTTTCTGTGCGCTCCTTCTACCTACATCAATATTTTATTAAATTTTTATTTGTTTTTCAAATCTATTCTTTTATTATTTTTTAAATTTAAATCACGTCATCAATAAAGGTTAGTGAACAAATAAATCGAGGGTTAATACAGAAAAAAGAATCTACTAAACAAGGAATGGATTAGTCTTACGACTTCACCATCTAACCTCATAAATGTAGTCTTTGACTGGTACCGCCGCTTTTTCCAATACCACAAATTCCATACCTTCGCCATGCTGATCGGCAAGCATACCTTTATCTAACAAGCGAACGATTGATGCGGTTTCGGACTAAATTTACTTTTTTGCTATTCTAAAGTGGAAATTTTGAACTTAGAGATTTCAATTGTAATTCATTGTAATTCCGATCCATAAAATTTCAGAAATTGAAAACCTGAGAAATACAGTATTTATACTGATATGCAAAAATTGTAATTACTGTACTTTGCTGCACGGACTACTTTTTTATTTGACTGTTCATGCTACTCTTTCAAATTTAAAGTAGTTTACATAGTTTTGAACCTATTCTACTAGCATTTTCAGTCGTTCTCTTCTTTCTTAGTGTCTTAGTGCGAAAAAAAAGTGATGGTTTTCAACGGGCTAATTCTACTACAATCAAAATGTATCCTCTCTGATCTCCTGATCTGAAATGGATTTTTGTCCCGCAGTGGAGTTCTTCTGCAATCCTAAATGCAGAAAAAGAAACAACATTTCTGACCACAGGTAGTATCAAATATTAAGCTGTACTCTTTTGAACATTGTTTCTAGGATAAATCCTTCCCACTCAGCCGAAACATTGCCAGCTTCGTTGGCCATCGACTTAGCCACTTTAATAACGCCGTATACTTTTGTGACAACATCGCGAACAGAAAATACCACACCATATGTACCTTGATTTATTGTTTCAATTACCTAAACATGGATCGTAGAATAAAATTTCTGCCTTCCATTTAAAGATTCATTATATTATTAGCAAGGATAACAGAACAAACAAATTTCAAACTTTACGGCTCTGCAAAGGTTACAACATTTTAAAATCTTTCTGTTTATTGTCTACTGAAGTGGCCAGGTTCCACGGAATATTTACTTGCCAACGTTTGTTGAATGGTGCAATGGACTTCAGATGCTCAACCAGTTCTTGCACTGCTTGGTCTTGCTTTTCCTGATCTCTTTGGCGATCACTGCCAATAACTTCCACATTTTTTCCAGATGCCTTTAGACTGTGCGCTACACGACGACTGCTTGGTCGGTTTGCGGAGACACAAGAAAGCTAGAAGGAATGAGAGAAATATGTTGTTCGTAATCAAAAGTTGCCATTGAGATTGTAACCAAAGAATTACTTGTCTGGTGGCTGCAGTTTTTTGGGCGCTGAAAACCAGTCGCTGATTTCGTTTCGCTGATGTTTGCTGATCCTTTACCGATTTCTTTGACTTTGTTTTTGTTTTTGCTCTACAACAATGATGAAGTAAGGAGGTGCATATTAATGGCTTTATCAATAACAAACGGTAACCGTATTTATGTCTCGAGATGTTATTTCATTAATATGCTTCCTGTGAGATTCGTATTTTGCGCAGAACTCTGCTCGAAAGTAAGACGCAAATACGTTTTACTCTTTTGATGAATCGCAATGTAACGATATGACTGTGATTTGGTTGCGCCTCACGCTTTTGCGACTATTGAATCTCGTGTGAGGACACTACTCTCTACTATTACTTCTATGGAACAAATGGTCACTCTGAAACTATGGCACAATGGAAATGCATTCTTCAAAACTGATGATATACCAATTAAATGAAAACCATTAAAAAGCTGTGTCAGTAATTTCTCTTTCAAAACATCCTAACTTTTCTTGCTTGAGAAATTCAATGTTTACACCTATTTGGTAACCCGTGATACATACTTCAGGAAAAGTGGCATGATTGTAATCTCCTTTCGACTCTTTAAATGATAAAAATGAGACAGTTGGAATGCATCCAATGATTTATATGGCTAAGGTAAATTTTTGTCTTCTAATGAATTTATGAATTGTGATAATTTCAATATGCAAATTGTGGTGCATTAAATTTAATAGTGCAAAAAATGAACATTACAAGAAATCGAGGTTCCAGGAAATAAAGATGTAATTTTACTAGATGAAATAACTAAAATCATAATATTGTTGTCCTTGATGCTACCTTAAAGTATAGCAAATATGAAGAAGAGTTCTAACGAAAAATTTACATATTATAATGAAAATTCATTTAGGCTATCGTTTTTGACTAATCACAAAAGAACAAACAAACGATCACGAAGCACTGACGTCAATTCAGAAAAAACGAATGGCATCACCCGGTCAAATTTCTGTTATCTTTTCAATCTTTTTTCTAACACTCCTTTATAACGGTGTTATAGGAAAGGTGAGCACTGAATAGTCATATTGCTTGAACACTAAACATACTGTATTTTCGATAATGAGTTATTACAAGAAGATATTAAGACACACTTAAAAGAGCTGATGTTGAGCTAATAACTTTGATGCATTCAGTAAAGCTATCAGCAGTGAAAACAGAGTAATTCCTTGAAGAATTAGCGACACTGTTGGCAAAGTATGCTATAGCATTAAAGATGATTTTTGAATAAAATTTGACAACGAGTAATTAGCGAAAAATTGTTTTGAAAATTAAAAAATGAAAGAATTGTTAAAAACAAATAAAAAAATTGCTAAAAAAATAGGGAAATTACTTCAAAAATTGGCGAAACAAATATGGCAGATACTATTAAGCAGATACTATCAATCAGGACGTATGAAACAAACTTAGTGCTTATCAATAAGCTTTGTTCACTTAAATATATCGCCTAAGTTATAACTCAACACAAATTTCAGCAGCAGCAACAGATGCAAGATCCACAATGTTTATGGACTGCCTGGTCACCATGCACCGTAACTTGTGTGAGTCGAGGGTCAAGTTCGGTCTACTCCCAGCAATGGCAACGATTCATCTGCAAGAGTTTGAACAATTCGGACAACAATTCTTCCAATTCCATAGCAAAATTTCGTTCCTGTGCACATATGGTACGATATTTCTCCGAGATTCTTTTATCCTCTGCATGTCGAAATTCAAACCACAAGTTATTCCAGAAGTATGCACGAGAAGGAATCTTGGAATCCTAGACTTGAGATTCTAATCTCGAGTCCTAAAGTAGCATATAAAGAAATCGATTCCTTTTGGATTGGAAATTAAGTAAAAAAGCGGGTTATGTAGACTTTTCCTGCTCTACTTGAATACCTAAAAGTCAATTAGCACTATTTTTTATTGCCCTTACAGATACCTCTGTGTGTATCGGATGAAGGCTTCTCGGTAGCATTTCAAAATTTTTTCTTTTTGGCAATATTCCTAGTTTGCATATTACTAGCATTTTTGCCAAACATGATTCTCGGTTTACGTTATATGCGAGTTTGGGTTTGGAAAAGTCGAAAATCTGGACAGAAAAGTGAACAATCTGTTCCATCATTCAAGGAAGCATATGCTGATAATTTCTTGTCGAATCAAACCTGAAATTTTTTAAAGCGATTCACTGACAGAACCAAGGATTTTGTCCAATAAAAAATTGAGAGGTCGAAGAATCTGCACTAACTGGATTTCAGATAGACTTTAATTTTGCCATCAGCGTATCAGGTTAAAATGAAAATTCTGCCTTGCCATTAGTCAACAACAGCTATAAAACCATCACATAATTTGTATATGCAATTTTCTCCTAAAGGTCATCTTGCACTGATGAATGATAGAAATTAAAAGCAGGAACTCTGAAAAGGAGAGTAAGTAATAGAAGCCTTCTTTTCTCCTCAGGAGATAAGCATTATTTCAAGAGTGGATCTATCGATTAGTTTGGTTTCTATCACACCTGAATATATCTCGGAATTTTTCTCGAATCGGTGAAAAGTCTGTATCATTCTAATCTAAGAATCTGTAGCCTATTTTTGAACGTTAAATGATATATATGCAGTCAGGATATTTACTGTCCTTATTCAGTGGATCTTTTTACATTTGTCTAGCTAGCATTTGGCCAGTTTCTGACCTAAGTAACTTCGAGAGCGATTGTTGCCTACTAAACTATAAGAGAATGACTAGCCAAGTATGTCTTGCATTTTCAATGAAAACTTTTTAAAAAGATCAACTGAATGAAGATTTTTCTCCCAAAGCTGATATAAAAAAGCAACAGTACTTACGGGATCATTTTGCAC